GGGGGGGGGGTGAGCCAATCACAGTGAGCCGCTCAATCATCAACCCAGAATGTCAGATACCTCAGGTAAACTCCAGTTGTTGTATTTCTTAACACTATTAAAGTTGCTGACATTAGACAATTCTCCTTATCTTGAGACCCAGAACTGGAAGCACTTGAAATAATTCCGTGGTAAACCTGCCATGATATTTCAGGTATTTCCTTGATGTCCTCGGAAAGTGCGCGTTGCACAAATTACTCAACTACCTGGGCTATTTATATTTTATATGTCGTACAGTCAATATATAAGTCGCACGGCATCTCCCTTGCATATGAAGATACAAATTTCCTCTGAAATGTCGATTTTTTGAAGGTGAACTGGTCTTCAGATGAGGCAAAATGCTCGTAAACAAAGGAGCCGTAACGCACATGAAGTGTCACAAAAGCAAAAGCGTCCTAAAGAAGGAAACACAAAAGTAAGAGTTGCTCGCGAATTCACGAATCACTAACGCATGAACGTTCCGTATCACATGTGAACCTCAGACACCCTGTGACCGTATGGCTGAAAACACAAGAAAAGGTTAATGGAATGTCCGATGATGAACCATGATCTACACGAAGGACGACCCTCTCTATTGCCATGCGACTCTTCCCTGTAGATAAAGAGTCATACGATCCAGATGTGTTATTTGCGGCTCATAAAATCCTGAGTCAGGATTGCCATGGTTCTACGGCGTAAGAGAGGATGCAATATCCTAAGGAAGTGCATATATCTATAATACCTTGAATGATATCATAATGGCTTATAAATATATTCTTTTGGGCTTTATAGATCTGGCTATACAATACACTCTAGGATTCATGAGTCTAATACTAAGCTCAAATTCTCCATGTTCTCATAGTGTGAAGGTTTCCTAATCCTCATGACTTTTGGACCTCTGGGTATTATGGATGGTCAGTGTTGCAGAAACAGATACGGTAGAGTTTTTTTGTGATACCTCGCCGCTTGACACCGAAAGTTGAATATAATATCTAATCTATACCAACCAGAAAATAGTTGAACACCTGAGAACTTTGATTTTGTAAGGGGGGAGTTGGTCAGTGAATCCAAAGGTAGCTAAGAGGCCCCCAAATGTTATCCACAAAATCTTTCACATCCCTCGAAAGATCAGCACCTTCACCGGCTCTTGTTTCTCAAGCCGCTGCCGCTATCGCTATACTTTCGATAAATCAATCAGACTTGCCTCAATTGTAAGCGTCCACGACAGATTAAATTGGGCGCCCAGGAGGGAAGATTCTGACTTCATCGTATCGTCCAGAAGAGACTCACTACCACTAATGGAAACAATATCATCAGATCGGAAAGTATCTACACACCAAAGGCAATCTCTGTATCTTCTTCCCGGGCTCCGCCAGTAACTGCCGGAAGTACATTGTCTTCAGCGCAGGCAGGCTTGGTAGCTTTGGCCGGATCCATCATCTTCTTTATTTCAGGAGACCATAACGCCTGTAATAAGTATATTAGTAGTTGGAGGCTTTACCCTGGAAATGAAAATCCTAAGGGTGATGTGTTAAGATAATACGTTCGTTAAAACTAAAGGCTTCGAGGTCAAGCGGCTTGCCGACTCTAACAGCAATTCCATGTCTGGTCTTTTTCAGCTCCTATAGGACATTCTTCCTGACAGGTTCTTCCCTCAAGTCTCCGTGGTCTCGAATTCGGACAGCGTTGATGAGGAACTGCTGTTCAGCCTTTCTTAAACAGTTGCAAATCAGTCGTCGCTAGCTCTAATGGCCAGGAAGGCAGATACTCTGGCGTGCATAAGCTTGTTGAGGATTTAAGGCCAGGAGGAGTAACGAAGGCCCTTCTTGTGCCTGGTTTGTCTGGGCAGAGCTGCCCTTATTAAGACTCCTGGGAGTATTTGTCAGACCTCTGGCACCAGGCATCATGGCGTATAACTTCCAGGGACTTGTGTTCTTATGAACCAAATTTTTGGCGTCAGAATCTCGATTGCGGTTGTGGATGGTAGAAAAGGTCAGTTGGTAGAGACTTGTTCGAATTTGGGACCTCCGTGACAATCCAGTTGAGTGTCGAGACAGTCAAAGTGAATCATCGATAAAGTCAATCCCGAGATGGCTGTGGCGAGGCTTAGACTAACAAGATTATTAACATACTATATATGACGAAAGCAACTAGCCATGGCCTGCTCGGTCTCTGAAAACTAGGTGACGAAATCAGCATCCAATTCTGTAACCCCAAGAGCTGCAGAGATACTCCTCGGAATAACCTCAGGGGCATCTAACACATCAAAGCCAAATTTCAGAGTTTGAACTTCTCCAAAGATCTGTGCCTCCACCTGTGTGGGTATGTTCACAAGACAGGGAGGTCATTCCAAAGGCCCGAGCCTACTGGTTGTCGGCAACTTCGAGGATTATACAGAGACCATCTCAGAGGACAAGGAATGTAGAGCTGCTGTCTCTTGACTGTTAAAAGTCCCGCACTGAGCCATGTGTCGTCAAAGTCGATTCAATCGGTAGCATCACGAAGTGAAAAAAAAATGCAACTCAAGAAATAGATTACAATATGCCATGGAAATCTTCTCAGCTAAGGTCCTGAAGTAAATGAACCCTGGCCTCATATTGATAGTGCAACAGGCTTAGACAAATTTCCTACAACTCCAACCCAAGGCATATTTTCAAGATTTCAACGTAAACTCCAACTCCGTGCTGACCAAGTGTCATCCTAACCAAGCAGAATTCCAACCTCATCCTTGGCTTGTGCCTCCCAGGTCTTAAGTAAGATCTGACCGACACCCCTTCGGTACGCAATATCTCCAATGCGCTCGATCCAAAGGACGTTGACAAAGTCAATCATTTCATCTGCATCCATATGCTCTTCAAATTTCTCATTATCAAATACATGCGAACCGCGACGCTCTGTGGCTGTTGATATGGCGATAAACTCCAGGCGCTCTTCACCATCATAGTTGGAAGATTGAATACCCAGCCATGCGTCGTGAGCACGGAATTGACCTGCCCATCGGTTTGCTTTGTTCCAAATGGTACCTACGGCGAGGGGTGGATTGGTTCGATCGCGATGAGCGAGAGTAGTGTGAAACTCTACCTCAAAGAAACCAGTTGTTGTTTTGAATGAGAGTAGTGGGCCGGGGTAGGCTTGCTCGCCTACAGGTGGCTCATAACCACCCGTCTCGGGAGGATCCTCGACAGGGATGGGATATTTGAACAACGCAGAGTCGTCACTATCGTGAACATAGTACGAGCCGCTGCGAGACCATCCTGGAGGGAGCTCCGAACTAGGGCTCCGACGGCCCCGAAGATCACGGTACTGAAGACCGGTGTTCATAACGGGGGCGGTTGCGGCTCGGTCCGTCAAGCTCCAGGTAACGGTAGGTTTGATCCGGAAAGGGTGAGCGGACCGGTATCGTTTGGCCTCTTGACCACGCTTTCCGGTGCGAGCCTCTTCAACATAGTCTGCAGCGGCTCTCCACAAAGTCAAGTCGACCGGAATGTTATCAAACCACCAGCCCATCCAAGACCAAGATGGGAGGAATGGTGGGCGAGAGAGAGCTCTTCGTCGAATGGACGCATGCGGACGCCACAGCAAAGCAATGTCCAAGAACGCGATAGGCATGCCATAAATAAACCCACCAGGAAAAGAGCGAGATAGTACGTGTGTGATTCCAGCAAAAGCAGGCAGCGTGTCGTCGACAAGCGTCAATTTCCGTGCGCTGTATTCCATCACGTAGCGGGCATACTCATCAAGATCAGGCCAAGGCGGGTGCTGAAACGCAAACGCAGCATCAGGGACAGCGCCCGTACACTCTTGACGACCTCCTCTGAGCTTCTTCATCACACTGTTTGGGCTCCCCTGCCATGTCTCGCAGTGACATTCCCAGGTTATTGAGTCTTCAAAGAAAAAGACCGAACGCCGAGAATAAATGCGCTCAACCAAAGTCCAGCCCCTTGTATACCATGGCGAGGCGGCAACCAACTCCTGGTGAGTACGACCAGTGGTTCGAAGGCCGCGCGTTGATCGCTTTGGATCAAGTGAAGGCAATCCTGTATATACATCGCCAGTAGCGGCAACAATAGTCAGGTAAGAATTAGAAAAGACGTATGCCATGTGCTTAATGTGATCATCCATCTCTTCCCGATTATCCTGAGTTATACAGATACGG